TAATACCCGGCATGGTTGTTGGAGCCTTGCCATTGCTGTTTAACAGATGACACAGGTATTCTGGTGATGCTACTGTGTGGCTTAGTTACCCTGAACGCATTTTTTTCCCACTGTATTAATGGTGTGTTATAGTTTTTACTGTTAAGCATCTATGTGTGAATAAGTGTAAAAATTCATATAAATTCAGAGTCAGGAATGGCGGTTACGCCAAACAACCACAGGTGGTCCACACAGATGGCTGAGATAGTGACACCTTTGCTTTCTGATGTTTAATGTATATAAACTTCGTTTTGTGCACAAAATTATTAAAACTATTGCATAAAATTAAAAAATAAAATGCAAGATTGATCATTTAATTTTGATAGAATAAAAAATATTTCATCAAAAAATCAAGTAGGTAGAAGGGGGGAGGAGAGGATGGGTAAATTCACACCTAATGGGTATAATGCACACTATCTAGGGGATGGGCACACTTATAACTTTGATTCAAACAGTGCCATACCAATTTTTGTAACCGAAATATTTGTACCTTCATAATATTCTGAAAAAAATAATAAGTTTCAGAGATAGGAAAAAAAAAATAGAAGTGAGGCCTTTAAAAGGTGATTAGGTTGTCAGGGCTTTGCCCTCATGAACAGATTAATGTTGTCATAATGTCAGTAGGTTAGTTATTGCAGGAGTTCAGCCTCTTTTTTCTCTTTCTGTCTCATGCACAGTTCCTTGACATGTGATGCTCTTCTGCTTGATTATGACACAGCAGGAAGGACCTCACCAGATACACCCCCTTGATCTTGGACTTCCCAGCCTTCAGAACTATGAGCCAAATAAACTTTGGCTCATAGTTTCTTTATAAATTAAAAAAAAAATTCTGATTTTTTGACACATTTGTGGGATATAATAAATCAACATAATCAACATATTAGATATGCCTCTGCATAAAATATATAAAATATCTAATATGTCCAGAATGGCTATATTATATTAGAATATAGGTCTACATTTTTTGCTTCGCTGTTTATTATGGTCATCATATGGTAGAACAAATCTGCACAATTATGGCATTTTTTATTTCTAAGTAAAAATAAAGTACAACATAAATGGGAAATTTTATTCTTTCTGCCATAAAAACTGCTGATGTACTTTAAAATCCATGGCTCTATTTGGGTGATTCCATTTGAAAGATGGTCTCAACACTTACTTTTGCAAAATAAAGGGTTGTGTGGCTGAGCCCTCTCTTTCCCTGAAGCTCAGTTGGGTGTAGAAGTCTTGGGAGTTACCACTGACCATATCAGGACAGGCTGCATTTCAGCTACTCTAGTGGTGTTATGGTTTCTCCCAGTGCTCCCTTACTGGTACCTGCTTCTCTGCTGGGCATGTCAGGCTCTGCCACTTGTCTATGCTATTCTGCTACGTGTTATAGCGTTTGTCTCTGCACCCTCAGACTCAATACCTCTGGATGGTGCTATACTTGGGGAGTCCCAGAGTTGTGTATATATATATATCCTGTGTATATATATCCTATGAGATTGGTGGGATCTCTCTTTTGATTTTCATTCATTGTCTTGTTCCTTTAAGGATGTGACAAGGAGCTTAGCTTTGGAATTGTGTATGAAATTAGAATCTTCACTTGTAATGATAATGATGCTATTAATAATATCTTATTTTGATATAGTACTTTATAGGACTGTATCACTCATCACTCATAGTGTTAAAGTAGAACGTCCATAGTGAAGAAAGGAAAATGCCTGTCTGCTTTATGTCACAATTCAATAGAAGGAATCTGCAGGTCAATCATCCAAAAATATTGAGAACGCTTACAGTGCTATAAATATTCCTAGAGCATTTATTGAAACCTTAAAATCTGTACCCCAATAATATGCCAAAATAAAAAAACATGTCAAAAAATATTCCTAGAGAAAATATGGATTAATCTTTTTATTTATGTAATACAAGTTTCTCTAGTCTTCATTGGACTGCATATACTAATGAGAGTCACAATAATGTTAATAACTCAAATATCAGTGGTTTTTGTCTCCACCTACCAACATAGAGGATATCTAGCCTTTTGCAAAGTTACTCTTCCTAGGCATTTCTAGAAGTTCTCAGGGCTGTTTCATCTGTGCTCTTGAACAAGTCTGTTTCCACTGAGTATAGCTGCTCCTCTACCAGGTACTTCAGTCTCTTGCCAGATGGTGTGCTCTGCTGGGTATTTCCACCAGTGTTCCTGTTCACTGCTAAAGCTACATGATGAGCTTGGGTGAAGGGGTTAATTTTCTTTTCTCTTTATGTTATGTTCTATCAGAAGGTTCCAAAAGCACTGATTTTTACTGATGTTTTAATGAAACAATTCTTTTAGACTTTTATTGTAGCTTTTGCACTCCCCAGGACCAGGCATAAATCTATTGAGGATTTATGTGTGACATATGTGTATGTTAGGAGTCCAATTCAACAATAGAAAATACTTAGTATTTAGCATCGACAGTCTTTGGACACTAAGTTTTTTTTACTGGGTGAGGGTCATCATGATTAGCTCTTTTCTATTACATTAGCTTTTACATTTGCCTTTTGGTTGTTTTGCTCTATTAGTTCCTTGGAAATGCCAAAAGATGTCTGAATCCTACCTGGACATAGCTAATGACTTCCTGTTTCTCCATTGTCAGTTATGAACATTCTCCACCACCCCAAGAAAGGAAAAAACATGACTATTTACTAAAATCTAAGCAGGAGAGATCTTAAAAAAATCTATAATTAAGGGTCTTTAAAAGATTGCATTTATTAAAAAGCAATCAACATAGGTCTTATTTCACTTCATGCAAACATTGAAGTTAGGTCAGAGAGTGTGTTAGTCCATATAGTCAGGGTTCTGCAGAGAAGAAGAACCAATACATATACAGGCAGTTATCACTTAATGATGAGGATATCTTCTGAGAAATGCATTGTTAGGTGATTTTTTTCACTGCATGAATATCATAGAGTATACTTACAAAAACCTAGATGGTATAGGGCTACCACCTGTATAACATGTTATTATACTGAATGGTACAGATTACACAGATACAGATATACAATGATATTTGTGTATTAAACATAGAAAATGTTGTATATGTGGTCCATTGTTGATGGAAATGCTATTATGCAGTGCATAACTTGCGTAACTATATGAAAGGGGTTTTATTATGGGAATTGGCTCACAGTATTACAGATTCTGAGAAGTCCCTCAATATGCTGCTGTCTTTATGCTGGAGAACTAGGGGAGCTATTTCTCATAGCTCAGTCTAAGCCCAAAAGCCTGAGAACCAGGGGAGCCAATGGTGTAATTCAGGGGTGGGGAACCTATGGCCTTAATGCCACATGTGGCCTTCTAGATCCTTAAGTGTGGCCTTCATATAGTAGGGAATTTTAGTGCTGTGCTATCTTCTTTTTAGAATTTGTTGTAGCATCCCAAAGCTTTCTAGATTGGTGCCTCTCTAACTGTAAAGTCATTAGAGGCCAGAGATAATGCTTCCAAATTATTTTCAACAACTCATGCCTAGAATAAAGTCAGGGTTAGCATTCTCCTCATCACTTCATGTGATGGCACTGTTGCAAATCTCAAAAGGTCCTAGTGACTTTGAGAATTGCTCCCTACTCACTACTCAAGAGTTCATCCCTATTTCCAGTTTCTTTCTTTCTGGGGATGTTAATAGGGTTCAGCTGAGGCTCTTTTCACATGTAGCGAGGTCATTTTCTGGTTCTAGTCTCTGCTGTGCTCTATCTTCAAGAAGTTCATTAAAGCTTCTGGCATGTGAATGATACCTTCTCGTTTCTAGCACTGATAACTTGTGTCCATACACTTTTTTTGAAGTTTGGGGGTAGGGTGGGTATGGGTTCGATTCACCATTTTGAACCAAAATTATGCATTTTATCACTAATATTGCTATTTATTTCATTAATATTATTTGTAATGGTAATTGAGAAAGGTTGATTCCACTGGTCTAGAATAGTAATAGTCATGTAGAACAATTGACATAGTTTTATACAGTTAAACTATACATGTATGTGATAGGAATTATATTTTTATATATAAAACCATAAATATAACACTATATATAGCTCTAGATATATAATTTTGATACTCCAAACTTGTTTTAAAACGATAATTTTATAAATGTGAATTGAAAATCAGTAAACTAGAATTTACCTTCTACCATCAGCTAAAAGAATAAGTTTTTAAAAATTTTTAAATGATTGCTCAATTAACAATATCTTAGGTGAAGAGGAGAGAATTCCTGTAAGAAAAGCTACTGTTATTGTGTTATACCTATCTATTATTTTAGTTTCTGATGAAACCAGGTTTTTAAAATTTTTATGGTTCATGCTTAATTTTGACATTTATTATAATGGGTGTAAAGGAAAAATGATTGTTGATTTCTCATGTCACAGATAATTTATTTGTTGTTAAAGGAGTAATCCTGTCCTTAACAATATTGTTAAGTATTAACAATAAAATGAACTGGGATGGTGGTTAATTTATTGTTAACTATTTGTTACTATTTGAAAATATTACATTGATATGTTTTTAAATACCAGGCAATTAGAGATTATCTAATGACTGTTGGTGATGTTTACATTTTTCAATCTGTTTATGGTAATTTTTAATGGGTTTTTCCATTCCCTCAATAATACCTTCCCCTCTTCCTCTTTGTAAGTGATGAGGAGCTAATTTTCATTGTCTGTAAGGTTTTAGATGTGAGTGGATTGCCAAGAGCAAAGCTGTATATTGATTGAGAATATGCTAATGTCAGAGGTACTTCTTTGGGAATCCTAGCTGACCGAGGATTGGTATAGGAGACAGCAGTGACAATTTAAGTTGGAATCTATCAAAGAACATTGTAGCATTTACCAGTGAGACCCCCTTGACTGAGGCTATTCTTGTTTTAGATTGAGACTTAAGCAAAGCTAAACATTGTTTCATGACTTATTTAAACTATGTCTCATCTTCACTTTTTTTTTTCCCCCAGGATGCTTCCAGTGCAACTTTGAAATACAAAGGTATACATTTTGGCAACTCTTCAGGAAGAAGAGAGTTACCTAAAAAGCCAGGTCCTGGTCCTGGACAGTATGATATCGACCCGTAAGTAAAAAGAAAAAAAGTATACCTTTAATGTAGTTCTTGACTATAAAATATTCCAATAATTCAGACTAGGTTATGCTGTTAAAAAGGAAAAATTAGTATGAAAAATTCCAAGAAGCATTATATTTAACCTATATGAGACCTATTGCTTTTTATATGAGGCAGATCCTATGCCACCTACTATTTATATGCATTACCTCCTTTACTCTTCACAAGTGTCTGGGTAGTTACTGTTGTTATACTGTTGTTATTTTATCAGTGAAGAATCGAAGAGTCAGAGAGGGTAAACAACATGTTCAAAATCATGTGGCTATTAAGTGGCAGAGCTAGACTTTAACTGAGACCTGTTTGATTACACAGCCCATGTATTTATGTATTAAAATATACAGACCTTAATTATAAAGTAGACAAAAGATCAGATAAACTATAAAAGAAGGTGACCCAGTATTCTCCATTTTATCCCTGGCTGTCATCTCCATTCTTCTGACTATGTGGTGGATTTAGTAGGCATTTTCAGTCAGTGTGAATCAGAGCTACAATATTAGGTTGGAGGTAATAACGAAGTTTAACTAGTAATTACATTTCTGGTAAAATAGTTCCTGTCTTTATTTTCTCCTACTCCTACATTAAGGGCTTAGATATGAATACATGGAAGGCAAAACTGAGTAACAAGTACAGTTTATGCGGTTTATGTACATCTTCGAAACCCAAGATATTGTCATCAGATTCTACTACCTCTTCTCATAATTAATTTTTTAAAAGAATCCAGCTTATTTGGCTGAGTCCTTCTTTCTTATCGCATAGGTTTTCTCTCAACAAGTCTCAGAGTGATACTTGATAGGTTTGCTAGACAGATTCAGACGTATCTGTATACTAGCAGTGGACATAGCTTAGGCTCTTACTTGGACTCCCATGCTATTTTTGTTTATTCACTGAACAGACATTGTTTGAGTTCTTGGTGTGTGCTAGTATGGAACTTAATAACTGAGAATTAAAAGAATAAAAAATTGTCCTTGTGCTTTTGGAATTTATATTCTAATCCATTGTCCTTTTCATTTTTTCACTCTGCTAATGTGGAAGATGCATCTTTGTATTTTTATTCTTTTAGTAGTTATGCTAGAACCTTAACATGCATATTTAGTTTAATGAAATCTATACTTAATATTATTATTGTTCTTCCAGACAAAACAAGGTCTATAGAATGCTCTAACTCTGATCATTCTATCTTGACATATGCTTTTGTTGTTCAGTATTTTAGTTCTATCTTTACCTTCTTCCAGATTGATTGGTTTGCACTTTCTCTCACATCAGTTTTATTGAAATTTAAATAACATAAAACAACATTTCATCTTTTTAAAGGTATATTGTTCTGTGATGATTGTTTTCCACCCATTCTACTATACTTTTGACTGAGTACCCCATGCATAACCAGGACTCTCTCTAATTAGTGTTTGCTCTGATTTTGCATGGTAGTTTTTCCTACCAGTCCTTTTCTATTTCCAAACTTTGTCCTACTCCCATCCTTCCCCTATATTATATGCTGTTCCTTTGATCTTTGTTATTTCTCCTGTTTTTCCTTTCCTTCTATTTGCATTTTAACTTTTGCTTGCAGGAATGGATTAATACTGATTGCATTCCTAATTTCTTCAGTTATTTCATGATTTTCATAATTTGTTTGCTCTTTGGTTTGTCTACGTTCACTGTATCTTTTATTTGGAGTTTTCTTGGTTCCTTCTGGCAGTTGATATTTTCTGCTATTTTCTTTTTTTTCCCTTGACTTTTTGTTTTGTTTATTGAGTCACAATTATTCTGGGAGACTTGCTTCAGTACAAAAGTGGAGATATTTGGCCATCCTAAATGGAAAGATAAGCTTATAGGTCTCTTTTTGGGAAAGATATAGACCTAAATGATACATGATACTTTTGATATCCCAAATATACATTTGTCTTTGAAGTTTTGAAAACAAGTTCATTTGTTGAATTTTGTACAAATAAAAATCAGTGAAGAAGTGAGCATTTAACAGTGAGCTGGAATGGTAAAATGGTAAATGCATATTTGAAACATAGCACTGCTGAACAAACACAATAATGGCAATTATGTAACAAAGTTTTTAAAAATGTTTTTCTATTGTCTATTTTTAAATCTGCATATGTTCGGTGTCATTTGTTGAAAATATTCGGTATCAGATTTCTTTGAAATTATGTTTTGAGATATAGAAAAAATGGTAGTGTAGTTCATATAGGCTGTTTAGATGTAATTCTTGTAACAGTAATAGCTAATAGTAATTCTGTAGTTATAACGAGCCATGTATGGCACTATGCACTTCGTGTATATATTTTTTAACTGTTGCAACCTTGCAATTAGTTATTACTACTTCCAATTATAGGTGACAAATCTGAAGAGAAGTTAGGTGGTTTGTATAAGGTCACACAACTAGTAGGTAGCAATGTTGGGATTTTCTTAGGCTTTCTGATTCTAAGGCTTGGGCTCTTAATCACTACTTATTTAGTTTTTTTCTTTCTTGTGGTTGTATAAATTTCGATGAAAATGAGCTTCCCTTTCATTTTCAAAGATCTTTCTTTCTTTTTTTTTGTTATTTTCTCCTCCTCACAGATAATCAAAGATCTTTCTTTATGCTCCCTTCCTGATTATTTTATGATTTAAATAGCATAGAACTATTTTCCCCTTATTTTAGTAATATTTGAAATGCCCAGGGGGTTGGAATTTTAAAGATTTTTTAATGGTAAGTAGAACACACAGGGAACTTACTGGTAGCTTTTTATTTCAATTAATGATATAAATCTCAAATCTTATATTCTTTTGGGAATGATTATTAGAATAGGTTTATAATAATGCTCTGAATTGGAAAAAAGCAGAACTAACAAAATAAATATATTTTACAAAATTTTGAATATATTGGTCTAATACACTTAGATTATCTTATTATCTCATATATACTTTTAAAGCAGGAAGTGTTGCTGAAAAAATATTCTCTTTGCTTATAGAAACATTTATAGATTTAAAATCAAGAGCTCTTAATTTCTATCTGAATTTTCTAAAGGAAAAAGACATATTGTGAAAATATTAACATCAAGAAAGATCAACAGGAAAATTGTTGCTCATTTCTCCCACGATTATATGAAGTAATAGTATTACAGGAGAAAAAAAAGGTAAGTTGAAATGTGGCAATTGCATCTAGATTTTAAGATTATTGAATCCTATTATCACAAGGTTAGTGTATTTTTAGATCTACTGTGCCTGATAGCTATCACTCAATGAATATTATAGAAGGAACTATATTTAATATCTCTGTGAAGTTGTCGTCTCTACCTGAACACCTGTTGTCATCAAGAATGCATGACTCCTAAGGTTTCTTGTTTTAGTAGTAGACAATTCTCTTTTTAAAATGCCCTTCATCTGATCTAAATTTTCCTGCCTCCTGCTTACTTATTTTATTCTCTCTTTTCCTAATTTCTTTTCAATCTCCCTTGAAATCTTTTCTAGTAAGGATAAATGTTCCGAGTACGGTTAATTGTTATTATTATTTAACTTCAAGGTCACTTATTTTCCTTTGAAGTCACCTAGGGACCTTCTTTAGTTTGTGAATATCTTTCTCTTTCTTTTTAAATATGGTATCTAGAACTAAGCCTAATATTCTAGGTCTAGTCTGATTGCACATAGTAAGATTGTTATTTTAATTCTTCTGGATAGTGTATATTATTAATATAAAACCCATAATTCCATTTTTTTTGTAGTACACTTCAGTTTACTCATTGGAACTTACAGGCAAACAAAACTGGATTTTTTTCATTTAAATTTAAAGTTTGAAGAGTATAGGATGGAAATTTAAAAATGGATACATTTAGAATAAGGATAAATGATTCTTCATTGAAAAGTCAGCAACTATCTCAATAAGAATTTTCTCTAGCATTTGATTTTCTTGTCTTCCTCTGAATATTTATCAGCAATGAAAAATATTGTTTATAGAAATATTAGAAAAAGATATAATGGAATACTATGATACAATTGTTTTCATAGAATAACAATTATAAATCTCAAAGCAGATAAAAAGTATTAATTTAGAATCTGTAGAATCTAATGGATATACTTATTTTAAAATATACTCAGGAAAAGGTGAAGAAAGCCTTTGGTTTGTCATTGAGGTTTTTTCATCAGTGGAATTTATTTATAGGTAATATTTTTCTTTGAATGTCAATAAAAATGTACAAAAACTAAAGTAAGAAAATATTTTCTGCTTAAGTCTTTTGTGGAAAACATTCTCTTAGATATTTAGAGATCTTAGTAGTATGTCATATTATTTATTTTTTGTTTTACTGAGCCTGTTCATCTGCTGTAATAGTATGTTATTTTAAAAAGCCACCTTTCATACTGCTATGCTGCATTTTTTGAAAGGAGAAAGAAATTTATATGAGATGACTTTTAAATTAATATCGAGGTACTTATATCATTGCATTAACTTTTCTGCTGAGGTTACTATGGTCTGAGATAATTTGTTTTTGAAATCGTGGGATGGCTAATATAACAACATGAAGAATTATAATTGATAGCAGTGGATTAAATTTTATTTATTTAAATATTAGCATTAGGGGTTTTCTTAAAATTGTTTTCTTATTAACTATAAAATCTTAACTTGACTTTATATCCTGAGCATGGGGTCTATGTATTATTTACCATCGTGCCTTTAGTATTTAGCACAGTGCCTAGAGCATGGTAGGACTCAGTTAGTATTTATTTACTAACTACAAATAGGAACTACAACTTCTTGTTTTTTTAAAACATCAACATAATTTTGTATTTTATAGGGACACAAGTATTTTAAATATATTGTTTTCTGTATTGTACAAACATAGTAATATTTTGATAACTTTTTAGTTTACTTTCAGGAAAATAAATTTTGAGACTAATAGTCTTTTTCGTCTTTAGATTCCTCTACCACTACCATGCTGCTTTCCTCCTACATTCTTTTCCATTTAAAATTATTGTATTTTCAAGATGGCTGACTAGAGTCAAGGCTTGTCAGACCTTCCTGGTGGAGGAGTTGAGGGTTGGACTGAGGGGAGCAGAGGGTGATTGCTGATTGGGAGTGGACCGCAGGGACTGACACTAGTATCATCCAGGACTCCACCAGCGGGGACTGAGCAGCTGAGAGAAAGGAGGATAGAAGGGAGAAACCAGCATGAACCAAATCAAGGGTGTTCCCGAGCCCAGGGCAAGAGTAAGGATTTATCTCCCCTTCCCCACCCTGGGGCCTGAGGCCTGAAATGGGACACAGTGCTCTTATCCTAAGGGGAAGTGCCACAGGGGACCAGAGAGCTGGCATCCCTGCATCCGGATGCCCTCTCCTTTGCACTGTCTCCACTCCTGGCATCCCAGGAAGTATTTTTGTCTCACGTTGCTCATGGCTGTGTGACTGTACCTACCGCATAGCAACAGCCAGAGTACCTTTCTCTGAGTGACTGAGCCTGCCTTGGGCAACCGGGAGTGCACTCCCAGCCCCGCCCGCCTGGGTTGGCGTGGTGCCGCTGTGGCTCGGAGAGGAGAGCAGTTGTGGTTCTGTAGCTGCAGCTCAGGGAGGAGGAGGGCGGACCGGTGCTCCCCCTCCAACTCCAGAGTGGTACAGGAAGACTGGGGCCCCTTCCCTCTCAGTTTAGCAGCTGCTGGAGTTCTCTGTGCTGAGTGGCCCCCTTTCAGTGCCGAGGGCATGTTTCTGTTCCAAGCCGGCAGGGCAACCTCAGTTTGTGATCTTCCTCCTCACAGGCATTTGACGCACCCGCCTGCTGATGGCACAGGTGGTCTGTTGGGCAAGCATGGGGGAGGGGTCCTGGTTCCAGGGTTGGATGGCTCAGGTGGCAAGTGGGAGCCCATGCCCATTGGGAGGTGTGGAGGAGCACAGGAGAGCAGGGGTCTGTAAGTGTGCCCCTCCCCCCGTCCCCTGGAGAACCGCCATATTGGAGTTTGCTGAACCACTGAGACTCAATTACTGTAAGTGCTGGTTCCCATGGCAACTTAATGCCTCAGGTGCTACAGCTTGAATTGGAGCACCTGTCCCCCCCCCCTCCCAACCACTCACTTTAATAGGGAGTTCAGCTTGATCCAAGAGTTCATTGAGCTGCCCCTATTCCCCTGGTGGTGTCTTCTGGGGATAGAGAGTCCCATCCACCTTGCCTTGGGGTCTAGTGGTGGAAAAGAAGCACAGAATTAGAGATCCCCCTATCTGCCAGCATCTCATGGAAATGCATACCAACGGACAGACACATGAAGTATGGGGAAGCTTGAGAGCCCATCCTTGGCAGAGAGGAAACACAAGTGGACCATTCAGAGGGGAAAGTGCTTGGGTTTGTGGACAGGAATGGATAAAGAATGGCCTTTATCAAAAAGTTCCCAAACAACAAATGTTAGCGTGGATAGGGAGAGATAGGAACACTCATACACTGCTGGTGGGAAGGCAAACTAGTACAACCTCTGTGGAAAGTAATATGGAGATACCTCAAAGAGCTAAAAGTAGAAATACCCTTTTATCCAGCAGTCCTACTAGTCAGTATTTACCCAAAGGAAAAAAAGACATTCTATAAAAAAGACATCTGCACTCGAATGTTTATAGCAGCACAATTCACAACTGCAAAGATGTGGAAACAATCCAAGTACCCATCAATACATGAGTGAATTGATAAAATGCGGTACATGTATATGATGGAGTACTAGTCAGCCATAAAAAATGTGAACTAATACCTCGTATATTATCCTCGATGGATATGGAGCCCATTCTTCTAAGTGAAGTATCACAAGATTGGAAAAACAAGAACTACATGTGCTCACCATTAAATTGGCACTAACTGATCAACACTTATGTGGATGTATAGTAGTAACGTTCATCAGGAGTTGGGCAGGTGGGAGGGGGCAGGAGGGTATGGGTAGATTCACACCTAAGGGGTGTGGTGTGCACCATCTGGGGGATGGGCACACTTATAACTCTGACTCTGGTAGTGCAAAGGCAATATATGTTACCAAAGTGTCTGTACCCCTGTAATATTCTGAAATGAAACAAAAAATTATAAATTATATGCAAAAATATTATCTATTATCTTTTTTTACATCACTGTTATTTGCTACGTGTGGAAAAACTAGAAGGTAATGAATGATAATATAGAAATCTTGGTGTGTTTGGGAAGCAGGTGGGGGAAGATGTTCTAAAGAGCTGAAGATTTTATTACTTCTTAGTGTGTTCTTTTCTAGTGAGATCTAATATACAGTTTAAATTTGCCCATGTTTAAGGATAATTTACCTCTAATTATTTATGTGCTTTGAAATACATGTTCAAAATTGAGTTTACCCAGAGGCTTGTTTATCTATTGTAACTGTATAATGTGACGCCTTTTCTTTCAAAAATGAACTCTGAAAAAATCTGATAAAATAAGAATTTCGAGGTATCAGAGAGCATTAATAAATCAGACAGCGTGAAAGTATTGACAGTTTCGTTGCATATTTAGTCTAATATAAAGCTAATAAGTGTTTTGCTCAAAGTAAAGATTTGTACCAACCACTTTTTCTAACAGAACATTATGAAACTAGAGAAATAAAAATAATCACTGTTTATTTCTTTACTGTATAAGTAATCAAAAGAATAGGAATTAAATTGAATGAGCTAGTTGGGACTGTATTGTATAGGGCATTTTCTCATTGCTTGAATGTCATAGCAAATATTTGTTCCTAAGATGTAAAAATTTTTAATTTTAATTTTGAGGTAATGAGGGAAGATGAACCCTTTTCCATACCCTAAATTCCAAATTTTTCAGCTCATATGATGCTAAATAGTAGTTTCCCAATGATTATTATGACATGGAATCATATTTTCCATTATTTTGTTATATTCATAACTAAATGCTAATACTGATCTGTGTATGAGAGTGTGCATGTGTGCGTGTGTATGTATATCTATAGAGACAAGCAAGTAGTAAAAGGCAGAAGTGACTTATAAGTGTTCAGTTAGGGTGGCCATGTTACTAGCAGAGGTGGTAACCACAGTAGGTGCTCATTATGATGAGCAGTTGATAAGTTCAGTTTTAGACAATTGAATTTGGAGAAAAATTACCAACAGACAGTAGAAATTTGAAAATAGAATTTGTAATACTAATTATGGGTAGAGATTCAG